GAGAGAGAGAGAGAGAGAGAGAGACAGAGAGAGACAGAGACAGAGACAGAGACAGAGACAGAGACAGACAGACAGACAGACAGACAGACAGACAGACAAATACATACATAGACAGACAGATGGACAGATGGACAAGACAGCTAAGATAATTGAACTACTAATTTGTGTTAGTTCATTGAAAGGAATAGTTAGTGCTCATATTGTTTGATCAATTTAGCATACCTATACTGGTAACCTGAGACATAGATTACTAATTGAACATAACAATATGCAACATAATAACCATTGTTAATTCCCTATAGTCTTGCTTAAAATTCTGTATCATTTTCATTGTTTTTTTTCTCATTAAAATAAAATAATTCCTCAGACTCCCCACTTCCTCCTACTGGTGTTGACACCAAAAATGCTCCACTATAGGCAACTTTCATGCTAACTTCCATCTTACTTAAATCAACCTTTAATAGCAAAGTAACTCAAGAGACACGCAGTAGACCTCCTGTCAAAGGCTCTCTCAGTGGATCCCAGTCTGGGTCGCTGTCATCCACCGTGAGCTCCTCAATGCCTCCTGTGAGGGATTCTTTCTCTCCTTCCTCCTCCTACCTGTCCTCTCTTTCCCCTTTCTCTACCTGTGAATCTCCTCCCAGATAAACTACCAATACCCAAACACTTGCCTGAGGATCTGCTTCATGGGAAAGACTAAACTATTTACAATATTTTTTAAAAATGTACTTGGTGCAGAGTCTCACTACACAGCTTGGACTCATAGTAATCCTCCTATTTTCAGCCTCCCCAGTGCTGGGATTACACACATGCACCACCATGCCCAGTTTCAGTGGCTGGCTCAGGATGCCTGGGGATGGGGCCACAGCAGCATGGTGCCAGGGATCAAACCCCCATGCCTGCACTTCTTAAGCAGACACTTAGTCTGCTGAGCTATCTTGCCAGCCCTTACAATATGTTTTGTTTTTTTAAAAAGTATTTGGTACAGGGTCTACAGGGTCTCACTATGTAGGCTGGACTTGTAGAGATTCTCTTGTTTTCAGCCTCCCAAGCACTGGAATTACAGGCCTGTGCCACCAAGCCCAGTCTCCATCACTGTCTCAGCGTGCCCCAGGGTTGGGCTGCACGGCATGCTGGGGATCGAACCGGGCCACTGTGCTCTGCCTAAGCAGGCCCTTTACAATATGTCTTAATACCTGGTAGGCATGATTCTTCTCTACCAAAATGTCCTTGTAAATTCTTGTGAAATTTCTCTTTTAAATGATTTGTACATGACCATGGACTTTTTTTTTTTTTTTTTTTTTGAGACAGGATCTCACTGTCCTTCAAGCTGGCCTTGAATTGGGTATATAGCCCACAATGGCATCTGATTTATAGCTATCCTCCTGTCTCAGCCTCCTGAGTGCTGAGATTACAGGAGCACACCACTATACCAACCATGACTAAAGATTTAAACATCGGAATTTTCTTTTAATTAAGTCAACCTTACATCAAACTAAACTACATCAGGGCTGGCGAGATAGCTCAGCAGACTAAATGCCTGTTTAGGCAAGCACAGGGACCTGAATTTGATTCCTGGCGTAGCATGCCACACCAGCCCAGCCTCTGGGTACACTGAGCTGGCCACCAAGACCCGGTATGATGGAGCACACCTGGAATCCCAGTGCTGGGGAGGCTGAAAACAGGAGGACCACTACCAGTCTGAGCTGCGTAGTGAGACCCAGTACCAAATACATTTTTTTAAACAACCAAACTACATCAATGTCTCCAGTGAAAACTAAAACTCCACACTTTCTGATCTCAAAAGTTCTTCTCCTTAGTTTGTATTATACCCTGAATGATTCACTTGCCAAATTGCTTTTGAAATCAATTTTTAAACCAGGCATGGTGGTACATTCCTGTGGTCCCAGCAGTGGGGAGGCAGGAGCAAGAGGATTGCTTCGAGTTTGAGGCCAGCTTGGGCTACATAGTGAGTTCAAAGCCAGCTTGAACTACATAGTGAGACCCTGTTTCAAAAATAAATAAATAAATAAGTCAGTTTACTTATATATTTAATTCAATCAATTTTCAATTGTCCCACAGAACTGTGAAAATACAGCATTGAATAAATGGGACACGGGATGGTGATGGCTAGGAGACTATTCTCTATGACGCTGGATATGTGTTGGTACAGATTAGTTTAAACCTATAGAATGCACAACACCAAAAGGGAGACTGGATATAAAACCACACTTATTGAATGATCATGATATGTCTGTGTCATCCACAGAGGCAAATGTACCACCCTCGTGGGGGATGAGGTGGGGGGTGCTGACCACAGAAGAGGTTGGACAAGGAGTATAGGGGACACGCTTCACCTCCCACTTAGTTTTGCTGTAGACCTAAATTTCCCATGAATCTAAAAACTAAAGGCCAATAGAGGATGAATCTGGTCATTCTTACAGAATGATTTCTATTAAGGTAGAAGACAGAAAGAAATAGGAAATCAGCATTAGAATATCCGGCCTAAGAGCCTTCCTGGCAAGTGCAAGGGCCTGAATTCGATCCCCGGTACCACATGCTGTGCCAGCCGTGCAAACCCTGCCGGCCACTGAAACCCAGGTGGTGCTGCATGCCTGTAATCCCCGCACTAGGGAGGCTGAGGCAGGAGGGTCACTATGAGTCTGAGTTATGTAGCGAGACCCTGTACCAAATAAATAAATGATTAAAAAGAAAGAATACTCCACCAATTATTGCCACAGGAAAGAGCTTACAAATGGGTAAGAGTTATTAGGGAGAAAGGGTGAGGTATTTGTGTAACCTCAGTGGATCTCTAATCCCACAAAGTTTATTGACCATCACGGTGGTTTTAGCATATGTTTGCACATTTTAAAAAATGCTCCTTCTTGGAAGTAGAGCTTAAGGCTCCACCACCTTGTGTGCGGTTAGACACAGTGATTCATTTCAAAAGAATAGAGAAGTGCCCAGTAACCTTTAAGGACATTCCCTAGTTGTCACCGCCCCCCCAAATAAAATGGTAAGTAATGTGATCATATTAGGGATGCCTGAGCTCTGGAAGTGCCCAAGGCATTGGGATGTCAGAGACCTTTATCTTAGCCTCCAAAAAGTCAGATTTTGCCCCTTTGGGAACAATGCAAACCCACTGAGAGTATGTGGAAGAGAATATGGGAAGGGGAAATCCTGGAACACCCGACAGATAGCACTTTTACACAAGGTACCAATCGCTAGTAATAGGTCATGGGTATCATGCATCTTCTTCATCTGCCCCACAAATATGATGGAACTGAAAGGCCATGTCACCTTTGGCACTCTTCCTCCCTAACCCATAACTTCCTCTTAG